TTCCTGCTCCTACTTTAAGTGAACTCTCCAGCCCTCTTCCAACAGTTCCTGCAGTCATCCCATCCTATTTGCTTTCAACTTTTTGTTTCTACTCAGAGAGGAAAGCGCCAGAAACTCTTCTGTCTACAGTTCTTAGTATTGCTGTGACAGAAGACAGGTATTTTGCCTTAGCTGTGAGTTCTTATTCTGCTTGCTAGTGTGAAAGTCACCAGTTCCTGGGTTGCTTATACTGGGACAGCATGGTGTACTTCTCACACTGAATTACTCTTTTGGTTAGGGTAACTAACAAAGGTGGCTTACTTCTGTAAAGAACCAATATCCCCCCAACACTAACATGCTTTAGAAAATGTTTTCCTGCATCTCAGATACCTACTGCTTGCGCTGCAACAAATGAGACATGTTTTCCTTGAACAAATTTTCACTTCAGTTCAAGCCTGTTGAGGAGTATCAATGCAGTATGATAAATAGGTGTGCAGAGATGACAATTCCAACACTAGTACAACAAAGAGAAATTTATATCAATTCCCCACTATGTGCACACTGTGCTTTTAACAACATATGCGCATCACAAATGTTATCATTTACACTTGCATTTTCTTTTAAAAGCATGGATGAGAAGGACATGATTTATAAAGTTAAGCACAAAATAACTGCAAAATATGATGGCAACTGTTTAGTACAGCTGAAGAAGCACTCTTATTCCAAGCTGCTGTTTTGTGCTTACGATAGCCTGACAATATTATCCTTCAAGTTAATATTTTATTGAAAAACAACGTTTCATTTTGTTAGAAAGTAAGCTTACAGAAGAGATTTTATTGTTTGTTTTTTTCCCCCTGAAATTGGTGAGATTTGTAGTGACTCTAATCTCTTGTGAAAATGAATTCCAAAGCCACGGACTAGTGTCCCTACTTAATTTTCTGTATTGCAAAGTACAATTCCATTGAGCTACAGGACAGAACCAAAAATAGAAGGCTAGATGAGACCTACACCAAGGTCACCTGAGCTCCGTCCACTGATGCTACTGAAGATAAGGGGCACAGCACTTCAAATTTGATCCTGTGGTCAACAAAGAACTGATACAGCACATAAGATAATGGAGCAACAAGCTCTCTTCATCCTACATTTATCAGTTAGGTCACTTCAGACTGAAACAGCTGAAAAGCACTGCATTATTCTCAGAAATAAACTGTGGCAACTCTAAACACTCCAAGCAACAAATAGGCGAATATACAGGTCAGTCTCTCCTACAGCACTGAACAGGATGGGAGGGTACTTTCCTGATGAGTTTTGGATAGGAGAAAAAGTACACTCTTCCTCTGGGAATGCAGGTCTGCATATGCAATATAAACATCTTAAAAATTTAATTTCACTAACTTCAACATCAAAAAGTCAATGTCCACATCACCTTCAGAAAATATAGAATAGAATAGAACAGAACACTGTTGAACACTAAATATGAAGACTAAAACCAGATCTAAAGGTATAGGGTAAGAACGACAGAATATTTGAAGGCTAAGATATCCCCTCATACTTCTTGGTTTATAATTTTGGCCTTCTTGAATACATTTAATATTTCTATAGATGGATACAGGAGGGTATGCCCATGTGTGTACATATATTATTCTCTCCATACACAAACACATATATGTAAATAAAGAAATCTCAAATGCAGAATATAGAAGTCAAGGATATGCTTCCCACACTTACATTCTTCAGAACTTTATTTTTGCTCAACATCTGACACACTGTCATTACACAGCTGTCTGAATAAGGGCAGTCCAACTGATTAGTTAATTCAACAAGCTGCAACTGTCCTGAATGTGCATTTCTAAATCATCTGCAAACCAAAAGTCTCCTTACTACAGACTGACTGCAACCTCTCCTACATGATATCGTTCACCACCCTCTGTCCTCTCCATTCTACCTGATCAAATCGTGAAGACTGATCTGAATGCTTTCAATGCTGATTTCAATACATCATCCCATCCACTCCAACACTGCCAGTTAATTATTCTTTCTTATAAGAATGTATTTGTTTTAACTCTTATTGATTTTTACCCAGAATTTTGAAGCTGCAATATAGGAACTCATATGCTTGCACTTACACACTAACAAATTGTTTTTCACTATTAACAAATTGCTAATCAAGAAACTTCAAATATTATCTAGAAACTACAATGCTTCCAAAACAAAAATCAACCTTCAACCAGCAAATAATACAGCTTCATACAGTTACCTTAGCAGTTTCATATCTCATAGGTTAAAACAACCAGAAATTGAATGGCTTTCTTTATAATGTGATACTTGGGTAAGTCAGAAGTTGAATCTTGCATTTTATTGCTGTATATGGCTTACTACCATGAGAAAAAATGAAGACTCTCACATGTTTGGCATGCACAAATTAGACTGCAAACCACTAAGGGTCTTTTTGCTGCCTACTTTAATCACAAAACCATATGCTTTGAAAGAATATGGAAAATATAATGAGAAACTGTGTAGCAAAAATATAATCACCTTATAGTCACATTAAATTATTTGATTAAAAGAAAATCTTGCCAAAAACTTTTTAAAAAGTTTATTAAGCTGCCACTGATAGATCTTCACTTTTCAAAGCTGTATACTGTTCTGAAGAGATGAATGAAGAGAGTAAAAGGCACACAGGAGAAGAAAGAGTGACTGAGTAAAGTTACAATGACTAAACATATGTGCCTACAAATGAGCTGGATGTTTGGGCTTATATTACAATTCATAGAATCAGTGGACTAGACAGCTATCTGACAGCCAGCCAGTAGGACTCAATTCACAGAACGACAGAATAGCTGATGTTCAAGGAAAACTCTGGAGAGCTTCTCGTCCAAAGCCCTGCTCAGAGCAGGGTCAGACAGCAGCAGGTTGCTCGGGGCTCTGTCCAGCCATGTTGTGAGTATCTCCAAATTGACAGAGATGTGGATGGGGACACAGCCCCTCTGGGGACCTGTTTATTTGTTTTAATGCAAAATGCCTAAATATAGGGGTCCAGGCATTCTGAGATGCTTTTGGATTAATAAGACATCCACAAAGCAAAGGCAAATAAAGGTGATCCATATTCTTTGGGGGAGGCATCTATACATTCAACTCTGTATATAGAACTCACACATGGGTAACTGAAAAGAGTAATACATGTCTACCTAAGGGTGAGCTTAAATGCATTCCAGGCTCTAATTACTAAGTCTCCCATCTATGACAATGGGAGACAGCACATAAATAGATATGTAAATGTATTTCTCAATCTACCATTCACTTTCTACCGTAACAGCAATCTTAAGCAACAGAGAAAGACAAAAAAAAGAAAAGAAATTAAAAAAAAATATTCATACTAGATATATTGAGTCTTTATCATTGATCTTGTTCAGGAACAGACAAGGTGATCTTGCACTGCCCTTTCCAGATCTCCAGAAATCTATTTAACTTCTTATATTAAAGAGATATACTTACCGCATGTGCTCCCTGGACTGTCCGCACAAGGTTGATTCCTTTCCATACATATATATCTCCATTCAGTGCACCAGAATATGTCACTTCATCCCTGGCACAGGCTAGGCACAATATAGTTTGGAGATCACCAGTTTTGCCAAAAACACCACGTTTTGGTGTCAATGAATTGCCACACAAGGTCCAGAACTGCAACATAAGGTGGTTTAGAAAAACAGTTATTAGTTGCTAACATCCTATAATTTAATATTTACATCTGAAAGAGAAGTACCTTGCCTCCAAAAGACATCATCATTCATACCCTTTTCCCTGCATGCAAAGTCTCTTGTCAGAGCACAGTACTTGCCAGTGGTTTCCGGGATCTCTGCAGACAAGGAGCACTTGCATATTCCCTAAAAACCCTCCTGTCCAAATATGTAAATATGAACTGCCAAGCCAACAAGCTGCTGCAGTAATCTAGTCCAAAATGGGAAAGCCCTAACTTCATCACTGCTCACAGGTCACTCTTATACTGTCTCAGCATGTTCCTTGTATATGTTTATGAAACTATTTCAAAGTAAGTCTGTGTTACCAATGATCTATTCAAAATTCTGAGCAGACTTCAGTTAATACAGAATAATGTATGTAAGTCAGTTACAATGCACAGACTTTTGTACCAGCAATACTGTAATTAAGAAATAACCATGTGCTGATCAGACAAATCCCTGTGTCTTAACTAGTACATCTCAAATCAAAGTACACAGGGTCATAGATTATGTTGCTGATGAGGAGTAACTGCACAAGCACTGCACAAATCAAACACCTAGGTCCAATATGAAAGTAGGTAACATAACCAAGAAAAGTAATTCCTCAGTATCGGCCCACTTGGAATTATCTACATAACTTGGTTTAGTATTACAATTGGAATAAAATAACGTGTGAGGAAAAAATATGATAGTATCAGAAACATGAAAGTAATTCTTGATACCTGAAAGAACAAGGAGGAGGGATGGTTTAAGAAAAACACACATCAACAAAAAGCTCTTGCCTGATCGAAATGCCTATAAATGCATAGGACTCAGATTTTTAGTTAATGTTTTCTCAAAGGAAACAGCAACTATTTTAAAAATGCTATTCTTATTTTAAAAGGCTTCATAGAGCCATAGAAGTCGTTCAGTTGATTTTCTGCTTACATAAACAGGTATGTTTTGTCACCATAAAGCCACCTTAAATTTACTAAATAACTGTTGGTAAATATTAGCTCACTATTGGCATAACAGTCCTTTTAGATCTTGAAGCAGAACAAAATCTCATTATTAATCAAGCTCATGGAAATCTGTAAATGACATGCAAAACACTATGCTAAATCAAAGACATATCCAATCTAGCCAACACTGAACACTTTTTCCAAAAAACCATTAACACATATTAATCTAAAAGTTCATTGTATAAAAAGCAACATGTTTTTCCCACTGTGGGAACCTACACATAAGAGCAATACAGAACTTTCAAGCTGCCATCTACTGCTGTTACGTGGTAACACAGAAGACAGGGCATGGCAGAAGGCAGTGACTTTAGGAAACATATTTGATGGCAGTCAAGCACTGATAATCCTGCTGACACGCTTAAACCTGCAGAAGCTGCTGCTTCTGCCCAGCAACTTGATAGATCAAAAAGTGAAACCCTCATCTCAAAAAAAGGCACAAGCTGTCCAAACTATGAATCCTTTAACAAACACAGAGTGCTCAAAACAACAAAGGTAGGAGTGACAGCAGACAAAGAGAAATTGGAAAAAGCAATTAAAAGCAAGAACAAGCATTTTCCTTTCTCTTTCAACTGTATCCCCCATACACTCTCAAACTATAGTTTTTCAACTCAATTCACCTCTGTAGCATAACAATTAATTAATTGTTCAAGAATCAGAAACCTGAGTACCTGGACTCACCTTAAACGTGTGCACCCCGTCTTATGCTACTGGGGATTTCAAAGAGCATGTTCTAGACAACCTAAATTTAAAATTATATTACGATCATTACATACACTGCTACTGACAACTGTTTCATTCCTTCTGTACTCCTTCTGTCATGCCATGAACTCTTTGGAACAGACACGGTCTGCTTTTCACTATATCACAGAATCACAGAATGTTGGGGATTGGAAGGGACCTCCAGAGATCGAGTCCAACCCCCCTGCCAGAGCAGGACCATCTAGTCCAGGGCAGGTCACACAGGAACACATCCAGACGGGTCTTAAAATTCTCCAAGGTAGGAGCCTCCACAACCTCCCTGGGGAGCCTGTTCCAGTGCTCTGGAACCCTTACAGTAAAGAAGTTCTTCCTCGTGTTGAGGTGGAACTTCTTGTGCTCCAGCTTGTGACAATTGACCCGTGTCCTGTCGCAGGGCATAAGTGAGAAGAGATTGCCCCTTTCTTCCTGACACCCAGCCCACATATATTTATACACACTAATTAGATCCCCCTTAAGTCTTCTCTTCTCCAGACTAAAAAGCCCCAGGTCTCTCGGCCTCTCCTCATAGGGCAGCTGTTCCAGTCCCCCAGTCATCCTCATAGCCCTGTGCTGTACTCTCTCCAGTAGATCTCTGTCCCTCTTGAAATAGGGGGCCCCGAACTGGACACAACACTTCAGGTGCGGTCTCACCAGGGCAGAGCAGAGGGGGAGCAGGACCTCCCTTGTTCTGCTGGACACACTTTTCTTAATGCACCCCAGGATACCACTGGCCCTCCTGGCCACAAGGGCACACTGCTGTCCCATGGACAACTTGTTGTCCACCAGGACTCCAAGGTCCCTCTCCACAGAGCTGCTCTCTAGCAGATCACCTCCTAACCTGTACTGGTGCATTTTATTACTCCTGCCCAGGTGAAGGACTCTGCACTTATTCTTGTTGAACCTCATTAGGTTCCTCTTGGACCAGCTCTCCAGTCTGTCCAAATCTCACTGAATGGCCGCACAGCCTTCAGGTGTGTCAGCCAAACCTCCTAGTTTCTTGTAAAATACCTAGTGTAGTCAGGTGTGATTCATGATTCCTAAAGAGGAATATTATTCTTACAGACGACCTTTCATATTATGAGTATATATTCCTTTTGGATTCTATTTTTATATAATAGAAACTACTGCAGCTTAAATATTTTCCGCATTAACATTTATTTCCTCACCTTGATGTGTTTTACGCCACAGCTAACAAGTTTGTTTGGCTGGTACAGATCCCAGGAAATATCAAATATCTGCATAAAAAAACCCAGAATATCAGCAGAGATGGCCTTTTGTAGCACAGGACAGTTAAAACAGTAAAAGAACTTGTAGCAAGTTAACAGACAGTCTGAAATGCATTCAGTGGAACTGTTGGAATTACTTTTCCCCCCCCGCCCCATTCAATACTGAGATTGCAATGTATAGCTCATATTAGTTCTGTTTGTTTGGTTGTTGTGTTTTTTTTTTTTTTCCCCTAGAGTAATAACAAGGCATGATAAAACAACATTAAGGTTCATTTACAGACTAGAAAAATTTAACTAATTATTTGTATTTTTATTTTTGATGATGAAATGGGAATTAGGGTCTACGAAGTAAATTAATTTTGCACTTCCTCTACAGGCTTGCAGTCTCAACAAACCATACACAAATAAACAGTGAGTTAGACCTTTTTTTTTTTTTTTCAAAAAATAAAATCTAGCATCTTCAATATCTTCACATATCTTCATACGTATCCAAACATTATGCAAATCCATTTTCTAAAGCATGAAATGTTTTTCATTCAGACACAGCTCTAGTATGTATACACAGACATGGTTTAACAAACTCAAATTACACTGGCACTCAAATTCTTTAGTAATACTTACTCTGTCTGTATGACCAGGAGCCACTGACAACAATTTTCCTCTTCTCCAGTCCCATACACAAACTGTATTTTTCGAATCCAAACCAACTGAGACCAAACGCTAAAAATGTCCAAATTAAAATAAAAAAAACTTAATATATTAATGAAAGTTGGAGTTAATTTTGAATTATAACAAATTTATAACATATTTGAGCTAGAAGCAAGAGCTACATTTCAATATAGAATAAAACTCGAGATACATCTTCTGCCAAAGCTTCCATAGATGTATCTCTTTAGTTACAACACCATGACCAAAGTAGTAAGATCTTTCAGATAACAACATATTTCTGATTAAAATGTTTAAGACATATAATTATATATATATATATCACACTTGGCAAGCAGCAGTCAGGAGACATTTGCAAAGGGGAATAATCTCACTTAAGTTAATGAAACTCCATGTGTTTACCTTTAATAATATATAACTTGCAGAATTTAAGTATTTATTTTACAAATTCAGGAGATATAAAGAAAAAATAATTTTCTTCAGCCTTCTTGGAAACAAATAGTTAAAAGCTTTAAGAGCCTTTTGCTTGATTTTTTGATACAGATATGCATAACAATTCCTTTCTGAATCCTTTCTCAAACCAAAAATTCAAAAAGACCCCAAATGCACAAACTTCACCAATTCTTTAATATTCATTAAGAGTCTAAAGCCAGATAAACTCTAAAACCAGGAAGGACAAAAAGGTCATTCCAAGAAAATATGGAAAAACAGAAGTTTGAGAACTTCCTATGTTCTGCAGCCTATCTGGTCTTCAACCATGAAGATATTCTTCACAGATTTCTTGACACAGATCATCGATCACACTAGCCAACAGCCCACTTTTACTGTATCTGGTAACCAGTCAAAATGTTATTTTTCCTGTAAAAAATCTCAACAGAAAGATTAACAATATTAAAGATCAGATGAAGAGGAGACCCGAGTGATTTTGAGTTTTCTTTTTAAATAAAAGTTGGGGTTTCGATCAGTTTGTGCATGAATTGTGACATGTTAACCTTGATAAATGAAAACTTTACAACTAATTTTTTTCACTGTTCAGCAGTTAATACAAATTTAGTTTCAATGTCTATGTAGATTATCAACCTGATTTTGAAAAAGCAAACTCAAAACTAAAGTAAATTTTTTCCCCGAAGACTGAAACCTAGTCCAAATAACATTTCTTTACAGTCTGAAAAGCTCCAAGATTATGAGAAAAAGAAAAAACAAGATAAGTATACAACTGCTATCCATGCTCCCTATTTATTAACACCAGGTTCAATTTTTCAGATACTGCAAAGTCCTGCCATTCTATTCCATCTTTGAAAACATTCTCGGAAGGAACATCAGTTTCAATCCAGCTGCACTTCCAAGCAGTGCAATTCCAGTCCTACTGCAGAATGAGAGGCAGAAATGCAGACTAATTTTACAGTTAGCACATACCCATCACAAAAAATGCAGGTGATGCCTTTCCAGACGTAAACTGATACACTGAGTTCTCAGAAAGAGAGATTAAATTATGTTCTCAGTTCTCCTAAGAACTAGAAATCTTGATACCAACCAGCACACTCCCACAGTAGAGCTCAGAGAAGAGGGAAAAAACCCAACGAGCTCAGGCAATAACCTACCATACAGCAAGCTGAACTTCTCTCAACACCAGTGAAACAGGAGGGTAACCTTCATTCTACAGAACACAACTACAATGGTTCCTTAAGGCAATGAACAAAGGATAATAAACAAAGAATAAATAATGTCTTCCTGAGCTAGCTAGAGCTGTTGGGGGTTGGGAAGACACTGTGTATGTGGCATAGCCCAACATAAAGCATAAAAACTTAACAAATAATTAAAAAAAAAAATTAAGAGGGCGATAGGCTGAGCTCGCTTCAGTCCACATACTCCTCCCCAGTGGCTGGAGATGCCCAGTATGGTGACAGTGATCACACAGAAGACAGTAACAGGAACTGCATTTTCTTATGACTCATCTGTATATTGCAACTGCTTGTGTTGCGATTTCAGTACACTGCTATATCACTCTGCTAAATCAAAATCCCATATCACACTAAATATATCAAATAAGTATGCTTAATATCAAACATCATACCCTTTAAAAGAACCTGGCCACAGACTGGCAAATTTGGATTTAAAAGGACAGGTAAGACACAAACAAACATAGTTTGCAGATCTTTCTGAATTGGCTTTGTATTTTACTGTATTTCCACATGGAAACAATTCTGGAGATGCAGATCTTGAAAATACTTGTATCCAGCTTCCCTTTGTGACCACAAAATTCTAAGAAAAGCAAAGATAAAGGTGGAAGCGCTGAGAAAAGTGGACAACCTAAATTCTGATCCTTTATGGCTTTAAACGTAAGAACTGGTACTGGGTACTCCTAGAACAAAACACAGATCTACATTCAAATCTCTGCAATAAGCACAAGGGATGCATAACTGCATTCTAAAAAAAAAAAAGATAAGAGAGACTTCAATCACATTCAGACACATCTCAACCTTAAACGAATAAGGATATTCAAGTGAGGAAGTAACACAAGTTTACATAGACACGATCAACATAGAGAAAAGATATGTCTGTCAAGTAGAAATTATGTTCTAGCAAGAAGCCAAGTCTAGAAGTTGACTCCCTAAGCAATGAGAAACCTAAATTATAACATCTGTAGATCACTCCAATAAACTCAAAATCTCCTTCCAACAGTTACAGCACATTTTAACAGTAACAAATTACAGTTAGGCTTTCCACTATTTGTGTTCGATACAGCTCTATTTGATATTGTCTTAATAAGGACAGCAACTGGTCTCTAAATACATCCTCACATGGGAAAGCAGTAGTAAGTAACAGACACTGACCTTTTCAGCAAGAGAAAGGAATAGAGAATATACTTAAATTTGAACATTCCATTGCAAGGCTACGCAGGAGGGGAAGAAGTGCTGCATAAGACCAGGAGAACAAGACTGCAGAAAGGACTTTCATGGCTAGTACCTCTTCAGCTGCTACCTAATGTGTATTTTCCACTTCTGATCAATCAATCAAGAAAGCCTCCTTTCTCACAGGAGCAAGTATCTGGTAAAAATTATCTCCCTTGCAACTAACAGCTCTGAGAACCAATTTACTACTCAGAGAATGTTTTAAAGTAACAAAATTATAATCCAATAAAACCTTTTCCTTGACTCTTAGATACAGAATTACGAATCTGAACAAATAATCAAAACATGGAGAGTCACCAACATGCCAAATTTATGAAAGAAGGGGGCACAGCCTGAAGACATCTGGGGTACAAATGAGTAACAGAATGGGACTGCTATCACTTTGTGCACAAGACACAACCATGCACAGGGGAGGTCCACAATCTCCAGCCATTTGGTGTAACCTTGAAGCGCAGCCCCCAGACCACAAGGATCTCCCTATCACCTCATCTTCATTCAACACCAGCATGCCCAAGCCAGAGGGGCCAGGCTACACGTGTCCTTCCAGAGAGGGTCCAGCAGTCCTGGGGGGGGAAGTCGCCAGCATTTCCCTTGGCAGCTAACGTGGCCTGTTTCTTTGTATCACTTGTTATATATATATATAGTTATTACTGCTCCTTTTGCATTGTTGTATCAAATTCACCTAATCTGAACTCAAGGGGTTTTGTATTTTTCTCTCTCTTTTCTCCTTCCCATTCTGGGGGTGGAGGGGGTGAGCGAGTGGCCACGTGGTGCCCAGCTCCCACCTGGGTCTGAGCCACAACACTGCCATATGTGAATATTAGTCACTACTAATGCCACCTTTTTTCTTCAGCTTGGGAATAAGCAGAGAAAACCTGAGTCAATACACTTCCTTAGAAAAAGAAAAAGCTACATTACAAGATTTCTGACAGAAAAACAATTTATTTAGGTGTTTGAAAAAAGAATATTAATTACATACCTGACCATCTAAATCAAAAGCCAAGCAAGCTATACCATGTGTGTGAACATCTTTCAGAACAGATACAGTTTGCACAGTGTACGAGTCCCACACGCAGATGTATGGTTCTTTTCCAACTTGACCTGTTGCCACCAACACACGTTCAGGATGCAAAGCAAGGCTGCCAAACAAAAAGATATAAAATATTTTTGCATCAAACTTCTACATTTGTCTAGTTGGTCACACTAATATTTTTTCTTAAAAATGTTTTTACTATATTATCCTGTTGATAGTAGATATTAACAAGTCACTTTGTATCACAATAGCTGTAAAATTCCCTTAATATAGTACATGCCTCTACCTTTCTTGAATTTGAACCTTCAGACCTTCTCCAATTGAACTAATTGCAGAATAGTCATTAACCCTCTTGTCCAAAATACAGAGTTTATTACATTAGGTCAGATTTCCCTTTCTTTCTGTTTCTTAACATTGAAAAACACACAGGATGGACAATAAATGTCCGTGTTCAGCTACCTACACATCTATCACCAATGGAGAGAAAGATGCATCTCCAGAAGCACTTCATTTCACGTACTATTTGACATCCTTTCTTTGAGAAGACTGAACAGCCTTTTGAAGCCATCTCTTCACTGATCGTACAGGAAGTCAAAGCATTCACTAGCTTAGACTAGATGTTATGACTAGACTTCAAGTGGCTAAATTGAAGTGAGATGGAGATTATCTTCAGTGTCTTAATTTTAATACAGAACAATTTGGAGTAGTTGATTTTGAATAATTCTTAACTCCTCACATTTGGCACACTGCAGAGAATTTTGTTACAGTGTCTATTTCAGAGTCTTTCAAAGTTTACAGTGGATCATCACAACTGTTTTGTCAAATGCAGGATCAAGCTAGAAAGCATGCTAGTAAGCAAAATGGTTTGTTTTGTTTATGCGAGCAAGCTGCAAAGAAGGACATGAGGTCTGAAAATTGATATTTCATAATACACAAAAGTAAGAATATATTCTAATATAAACCCAAACAAGCTACTGGGTGACATTCTACACAGACTAGGTACAGCAGTCCAAAATGATGTGAGAAATACCACATGTAAGTCAGAAAAATAAAATTTCAGAAGTTTGCTATTTGATTAGGCTAAAAAATGTCCTCCCCTAGTTAATCATAGAGCAACGATCCACCAGGGACAATGGCGGGCAGAACACCTAACAACGTATGCTAAATCTATTTATCTACTCAGCATCACTGGAAAGGTGAAAGGTTCAGCAATCTGCAATGCTATGGGGATCTCACACTCAAACACAGATTTTCATAAATTATGTTCAAAGGGTGGAAACAGGGGAAGTCTATAAACAGAGAAGAAATAGTCAGGATAAAGCAAATCAGTAAATTATAAAAAAAAAACCAAACAATTCCAAAGATGTATATATTTTCTATATACTAAAAGAGCAAGAGAAAACCATGTGTAGAAATTGCTTAATATTTCATTAAGTCATACTACATTACGCAATACACTTTTTTTTTTTTAATATAGCATTTCAATTGGTTGATATTTCTTGACAAATTCTGCACACACAATTCTGAGAGGAATCTTTAACTTCAAAGTTTCTTCAAAAAGTAAAAAAAAAACAACTCCAGACCTTTCAAATCATCTTTGCTACTCCACATTATCCTCAGCACCGGGATCAAGCAACCAACATTTCCACACTTTGCTTCTCTTCAATTCCAGAATTATTTCTCTGGTTCTTCCCTTCTTTATTTGACAGAGAAACTTCATAATTAAAAAATAATGCAGAAAGGAGCTGGCAGGCAAAACCTATCACATTTCACTTCAGTTCTGCCACCTAATCCTGACCAACACCTGCACATCCCCCAGAGCACACACAGGCAGATGGTGTACCCATGAGGAAAAAGAAAAAGCATCCAGAGGAGGAGAAAAGACTGCATTTGAAATCATCTAGTTTTTACAATGACACCACAGACACGGAAGATAAGACCAAAAGAAACTCAAGAAGAGAAAGACAGTTCAAAGAATACATAAAGGGAAACAAAATACTGGAACTAAGAGAAAAAGTAAAAATACAGCAGTCTTATGACTGATTCATGACCTGTTCAATCCCATACTTAGCTCTGCTGTTAGTGCATTGTGCGGCTTCAGGGAAGTGAAAACCATGTCAAAAATGCAACTCTGAAAAACACTCACACACCACCCTGGACACACATGAATATGCAAAAACACTCCCACATCACACCTTACAAAACACTTTCCACCAACCAAAAATTGGCTTATCATGTTTTCAACTAAACACTACACCCTGAGCTCAAGTTCTCCCTTGATATGGGACAATGCAGCACAATCCAAAATCCAAAGCCTGTATTTCAATCACAACAGACAATACCGTAGAATTACCAATGTCCCTCCCCTGTCATTTCAGTTTCTATAGCAAATTGCTAACAACCTTTCTAGACAGTCATTGAAAACAGAAGAAAACAAAATATACAACATTTTTAAACAGCAAGTTGAGCTTTTTTTAATTGCCAATATGCAAGGATTTCAGGGTATCTGAACAGCAGAGCTGTTGACAGTGCCTGAAGGAATACCTACCTGAAAACACCTCCACCTCACCATTTCCTTCAGATCAAGGAGTGCAGGTTGGGTCAAAACACTACTTGGAAGTATTTTATCTCACTGGCTATCAGGACAGGTGGAAAAAGGAAGCATGAAAAGTGACACGGGACTGCTATTTTTATTACCAACACTAGGGCAGTGCATTGCCACACTTATTTACATGATTTTCATATGGACAAGATAATGCTTTTCCTTAGTGTTCAAGTCCTGGCTGTTATTATACCCATGGAACACCATGCAGAATTTCAGGTCTCAAATTTTGAGCACTGATAAAAACTCTAGGATTAGACTCCAGCTTTAAGCAATATGACCCTTTTCAGTTCTTTCATTGTACTTACAGGAATAGCAATTAATACAAAAATATACATAGTATCTTTATCGAACCTCTACAGTAAAAGCATTAATACAACTCGCATTCAAGAGCTTCCACTATTAAAACAGTCCTGAGCAATTAATCATAAATACCTTCTTAGTACAGGAAGAAAAAAATATAACTAGAATGGGTGCCCAGAAATGCATAAACAAAAATATTTGCTATACAGGGCTACAGTGACTCATGGGCATAATGCCATTAACAGGATCAAACAATGAGTGTGAGTTGCCTCTGGATACCCAAGACACCTCTACAGAGGTTTTAATAGTGCACAACTCTTGGGATGGTATTTGAAGTAATTGATTATTATCCATCCAGTCAGTCCCTGAGGACAGGCAGAGAAGCCTGAGTGTGGCTCAGCTCTTAAGACAGCTTCCAGATCTGTTGGTGCGGGCTCTGCGGACTGAAGTACCCTCACCCCCTCGCACAGGCTGCCTTGCATTTCTTCTCCTAGGGAGAAGAGGGAGACGGCTTAGTGGAACGAGAAGCTCTGCCCTCAGGAGGGGAGAACTCATGTTCCTTTTACTACCCTGGTAATGAAAGCTGGGACGACCTATCCTGGTTAGAATGCTGAAACTGCTTGCATCCAGCCCACACAGCTAGACTGTAAACTTGTGCCTGATTTCTTTACCTCTTCCTGGAAGGATGACTAAGCTGACGAATGAGATATCACTACTTGGCCAAAAAAGGAAACAAATATTCTCCTAGCAAGACATGTTCTTCAGGCCTTCTTGCTTGCTTCTGGCCTTCCTGACCTGGGCTTTTAAAGAACAGATGTTAAACCTAACATAGTGTCTCTGAAGAGGCAGGTATGAAGGAAAATGTCCAAAAGGCAAATGTGACCATGAAACAAAGTAGGAATTAGGCTAACAAACTGCCAAGTCAAATTAGTTTTGACATTTTCTATAAAATCTGGTACTTTGCAGAAGAGTTCAGAAGTAGAAAAATCCGCCTGTCACTATTACAACAAAACCAAATACCTGGTTTGTAGAGAACTGAGATTTCCAGCGGTATCTCCGACTGACAGGTCCTTCCCTAGACAGATATTCAAAGCAAGCTGAAACACAGTATTACAATTTTGACAGTATACTGAAAAGGGGCATGTTTCTCAATGTACTGCATTCAAGCTCTTCTTTTGTCATTTCTTACAGAAAAGGTTCTTTCTCCCTTTTAGAGTAGCATGTAAGCATTCCCAGCATTTTCACCAGATCCATGCACTGTACAATATCTATGTTAGATTAATTATATTAAATATTACTGGCAGCCCACAGAAAAAAAAAGTATAAAAACTGTCCATACTGTGTCCATACTATGTGTTTGGGATGAGACCAGAGACATGGACATGACTCTCCAGTCTGTGTGAGGTTTGTAGCAGTAGAGGATCCTGAAGGAGAATAGTCTGTAATAAAGTAATTTATTATAAAAGAAATTAAGATTTTTTTTTCATCTTTACTTGGTTTGTGTTGAGCATTAACAGGCATTTATTAATACAGACAAGCTGCAGACAAGGATACAGTATTAAAGATGATGTTTCCTTAGCAACAATATTGGATGAAAATCCAAGAATATATTCATGTGACTACTCCTGAGCTTCATAAAACTAGGGCACCAGTAAAAATGCACAAAAGAATACTGCAGTGAAACAACAGCATCTCAGATATCTATTAATTAAGAGTTAATTTCAAGTGTGAAATTGTATCTGTGATTAAATACTGAACAATATTTTCATTGTATGTTTATAGACATTTTACATATCATTCTGGATATTTTCTTATTTGCTACCACTTATCCATATTTCTCCAGAAAGCGTGACAGGGGAAACCAGAAACCATTTCTGGCATATAATTTGTTAAAGCAGAAAGACCTGTAATCAGCAAACAGCTCTCATCAAAGTTTAAATAGATCAAGTCAAAGCACACTTCGTTCCCAGAGACAAAACAAAGCATATTCATCACAGAGCATCACTACTGGGTCTTCCATATAGTTATTGTTAGAACACCAAAATGTCAAAAATAGCTTTCTGAAGATTTCTTAAATTGCACAAGCATCCAATTTCAAAGTAATAGTCTGAACTGAAGGCAGGGAGGGTGGACTGAAACTGTACATGGATTATTCCCAGCAACAGTTTATCTCATTACCATTCCATATTCTCCCCTCTCAG